CGAAAAAATCCCACGCTCTCTCGTCGGCACAACGCCTGGTTCTGTGAGAGATCGGAAGCGATCTCGATCGAGCGAAACACAATACCGATACCGAGAAAAGTGAGAGAGAAATCTCGCCCGTCACCTCGTTGTCTCTCGGCGGTTTATAGCGTTGTTTTCGTTCGTCTGAAAGAGGTAATTGGAGCCCAATTAAAATGCAAAACGCGCGGCAGTGGTCCGTGAAGTGAGATTCCCAGATAAAGAAATTCTCTCCGCGCGCGGCCCTCGGTGTTTTTTTTTCTTCCCACCATTTTTCTCCTCTCCGTCCCTTACTCACTTGTCTGCTTACTTCGCGCTTTTGCATCGTCTGTATAATCAAATGTCGCCCATGTGATTTGATTTTGAGGGGGGATTCCGGTTCTCCCGAAACGCGCCGGCCTGCGAATTGACCGAACTTTCGTTCGACTGTCAGCAACATTTGCACATACTTCACTTTTACTAGGATTCTAATCCTTCTTTTCGACATGGTAATCAAGATTGCAATATCGCGGCGTTACGTTGTATGTCTCTACGAATTTTCGATCGTTATCTCGATGCGACGGTGCAACAGGTAGGCATTCTTCCGCTGTTGCTATTTCGCACCTGCCCTGCCCTCGTCGTCCGCCGTCGCGGCGAGTGCGGCAAATATAAAGGTCCATTTAATTGTTACGAAACAAAGAAAAGTGTAACACGCTCGTACACTTTACGAGACGTTTCCCGGATATTTCACGCGAGACACCTTGTGCTTTACTTGAGGGAATATCTATGATTTAAAAGTTCGCGAGGAAAAGATACCCTTGCAAAATCTTTTGTAAAGAAACGAGAAAACCGAATAACATCAAACTTTTCGTGTCCTTTAAGCCTTATTTTTAAAATATGTTTTTATTATCTAAGTGACGAAAACGTTCTACTTTTGTGTTTTATGTTCTGCTTGGAATTCGTAAAAAAAAAATAGGCAATGTAAGTGATTTTAACTCTCCTAGGTATCTAAAATGCAAAAACCAAGAATTTTCTTATTCAGGAGAAGCGTGGCTATCATCTGAACTAGAACTGTACCAGTATTATCATTCTGGACAAAATGGCGGTCTTCTTATTTAAAGTTTCAGTTTTTCCTCAAAGTGTTGTTAGTATTTTATTAAAAAAAAAAACTAATGAACGTATCATGTTTGTTCCAGTTTACCCGATAATCACACTTCTCCTGAATAAGAAAATGTTATGTATTTAAGTTTCAGATATCTAACAAATCTAAAATCGCTTACACACCGCCTACGTGTATATGTTTTTTTTTTACGAACTCCTAGTGATTTAACATACAGAAGAGAATTTTTGACACTTAAAAAGTAAAAATATATTCTTAAAATAAGATGAAAAAGTTTAAAATTATTCTGTTTTTTTCATTATAAAAATTCCAGATAAACACCTTACAAACCAGGATATCCCTTTAACACGTCTCTTTTAGAACCGTTATTCCATTAATAAATAACAACAATATCGCGACGAAGCATATCATGATCAAATATTAAAACTAATGAAAATAGTATTCTGTTTTGAGACGGATTCTCAGTGTGGCAGCAAAATTTAGATTGTCAATTTATCTGCATATCTGGTTTATTTAAGACGACTCAATATCGAATTAAAGCGGCATTATTGATGTCATAATTTAATTCTCATTATAGTCCAGATAATTATTAGTTGTGCTGGCAGAGGTTGAGAAAATATTTATATAAACTTCTAAAAATTATATTTGATATATACAAGAGCGTGTAAAATTGCAAATTAGATTTGTCAAATCGTGAATCGGAAGTAAATTATAGAATACAGGAGAGAGGAAATAAAGTTGCGTTGCACGCGAGTCCATAAATTATCGAACTGACGATCCGACAACGTATCGTCGGCCAACATTCGATAATTGATTAATTAATTAGACATCGTCAAATCGCGATACCGGTTTGCAAATAATCACGGCCGGTCGGCAAACAAATGCACAAACACAAGCTACGCGAACGTCCCGCGAATTTTAATGGCGGCATCGACAAATTCCGCGCGACGCGCGACTTAAATGTTAATTAGCGCACGAATTTAATTCCGCGCGGATTAATTCGCGCTGATTTTTGCGGAATATGTCATCGCCGGCGAATGTGTTGCACAAGCTGCATTCCGGGAATCGACCGCAAGGTGACACGCTCTAACACTACGCGCGACGAGTGGACATATGCTGATGACGCATTTCCTCTCTTCGTAATCCAGCGTGTTCCAGCGCGATCCACGGTTTCGCCGCACGCTAACGCAACGTTGCAACGATACGGTATCTCGAAATAAACGCACGAAAATATCAACGGCGAATCTCGGTCTCCCTTCACTGTCAATTTCATATTGACTTTTTCTCAGCCAGCCAGAATAACAAAAAAATTTCCCGATTATTGCGATATAAGGCAATCGATGATGGAAACTTTACAATTCTTTCAGTATATTTTATTAATTAATAATTTACTTAATATCACATTGAGTCAATATACTGTGTGTAAATATATTGAGTAAATTATTAAATTTACATCGTTTACAATAATGTAAACTTTTTGTCGTATTGACGTAGCAACGGATTTACTAAAAATCACCCTCAAATTTTCGCATTACATTGAACGTGACATATTGTTTTTGGGGAAATTTTCATCATTTTTTTCGTATCTCTACTTCGTCATTCCGTGTGACAAATATATGAGTGCATTCTGATCAGTCAACGTTGCTGAATTTCGCGATTTAATATACTTGCTGTCGAGTTTACGCGCAACAGCGTCTATCGTGGCATTATTACGGATTTTTCTAAAGAGAACGTGCTGAAGTCGCGTCGACGGCATTCAATCGATCGCCATTTTTGCGGATTTGACCGCTACTTTTCTCAGCGCGCAGCTTTACTGGCTGTCTTTAATAATCGCACGCGTGCATCATCGCGGAAATAGGACGGCGCCGCTGTCACTGTAATCATCGTGCTTCCGCCATCGTCGGGTAATCACGCTCCCGATGCATCGGAAACTGAAGCGACCCTCCCGCCTCGCGACATTTATACAGCGGTAATTTCGAGTCACAGACAGACAAGATCCTCTCTCATGCACAATGTTAATAAACTACGAAGAATTATATCGTTGAAAAGAGCGACTTAAAAAGTGCATAGTGAGACGAAAAATATCGAGAAAGAGATATTTAGATTCGATAGGTGTTGATAACATTTAATATATTTAGAAGGATTTCTTTCAAAGCAGAAAATACGTCTTCCTAAAACTGTTGCTCGTCATGAAAAGTAATTGTCTATTCTATTATAGTCTATTTTAATAATTTTACATGTCAAAAGTAAAAATATTTTCGAAAAAAGAATGTCCTTTTCTCTGCGTACCCACCGAATTATAATTGTTTCAAATATTAAATTCTCGCGCAATATAAGTTTTCCAAGTATCAACAGGCGAAATCTGTAAATCTGATTGACGACATATCTCTTTCTTTTTCTCTCTATAGATTTATAAACATTCCCATAAATTCAAATAACACGTCGTCAACATTCGCGCTGCGAATGATGCGGCAAATTGTAGGCAAGCGTTAAAAACGTTCAGAGACGTTAGAAAAGGGGCTGAGCGGACACTTTTTATTTAATTTGATCCAGTTTAATAAATCGGTATAAATCGGTGTATTCCAAAAATATCGTTAGAAAGCGGCGACCTATGTGGGACAGAGATTGCGTGGAACGAACGATGTGGGGGAGGGGGGGGGGGAGTAAGGGTGAAATAGATAAATAAGAGAGGAGTTGACAGAATTTAGCAAACGAGGAGGTCTCGTCATTTTGGTCTACTTCCCCGACAGCTCGGTCGTTCCCCCAAAAATATCGTTAGCGGCGCGCAAAGTGAGAATCGTGCCGGCGCATGGAATTCCGCGCGGTACAACAAATCGAATGGACCCGACGCGACGGGCTTTGTGCGCGTTCTTCGGCACGCGATTATAACGAAACGTAATTCCATGAAGGCGGCATGGAACATCGCGCACCTGTACCAACAGCACTTGTGTGCGTTGCACGTTGTACACGAGGGTGTGTACACGCGACAGGCACACACGCCCACACACACACACACACGTGCGCACGTCGAGATTACGTACGTTCGTCCCGACTGTCATCGGTATAATTGCGTTTGCAAACGGCAAACGCACTCGTGCATATGTGGCAACTCGCGCGTTCCGCAACGCGTAAAGTCGCATTCACATCGGAGAAGGGAAATGGGAGCAAACGGACCGATCTCGCTGCCGAATGTGTCCTCGGCTATACGCGCGAAGCCTGAGAACTCCGGGCGAACGAGCAACGCGATAAAAATGAAAAAAGAAAAAAAGGGAGACCAAGAGAATGCTCAAGGGCCTGTATAATCGTTGTAATCACAGACAAAAAAGAACATAAAACACTATGACATACACAGAGGAAACGATATTCCGGTTTGGAAAGTATTTTTACTTTCGACACGTCAAAAGAGATTACACCAAACGAAGATGAGTCACTTACGAGAATATATCTCGTATAGAGTTCAACGAAGAAAAATCTGTGTTCTCTTATTATTTCAAAAGTAATTTTTATTCATGGAAGGCGTAAAATATTCGATTGAGAATACGATGTTTTTAAATCAGAAGAAGATATAGTTATCTTCAAATGATTATATTATATTCCTTATAATATCAACACAATTATTGTATATCTGAGTATAATGGTTTTAAGTGGATAGAGGAACCTAAAGCATAACACACATTATCGATTGTCTCACGTCGCGATAATCATGAATCTATCCAGACTTTTAATGGTCCTTAAGTATTCTCTTGATCGCGTGTCATCGGATTCTCTATAGATTTCCTTTAATTTGGGAAAAAGGAAACATAGAAAACATCTACGTTATCAAGCAATGAACTCATTCGGTCTTTCCTCGTCCGAGTAACATTTTCGAGAAAGATTCACTCACCTAGGCGTCACCTGCCTCAGCTCGCCGATCGTGGGATTGTACTCATGATCCTCACCGCTGATCCTCGCCACACCCTCGTCGACGTTCACCGCGTAGCCGTTGACCACTAGGTCGATCAGATCCGGAAACTCGTCGTGCTTCTTTGTGGTAGACGACGACACCGATGACGATGGCGTCGTGTCCGTCTTGCTGGATTTCTCGACGGCACCCGGTGTCGTATCCGCCTGCTCGCGACTGCCGTTCATCCGCTGGAGGAATTTCCGTCGGAAGTTGTTGTAGACCGTGTCGGCGTCCGGCCGGTCGCCCAGCCTGACGCGCGCATGACTCGCCACCAAATGGTGGCCGCTGTAGCCCAGGTCCATCTGCAGATCCATCACGAGCAACAGCGTGAACAGGATGGCGAATGCGCTCAGCGCGAGCACGAACTTGTCGCGGATGCAAATCAACCTCATCCTCAGCTTCATCCTGCCGTCGTCTGTGGCTGACTTTGGTCGGATCAACGGATCAACCTGCGCTCGCAGGTACGCAGGACTGCTTGGCTGATGATTTCTATGACTGGAAGACTTCTGTGGACCCTTCTGGCTCACCCGTTGATCGTACGAAGCTTCAGGACTGCAGGTCACCTTCAAGGTGGACGAGCAGTCGAACCCTGTGACGACAAGTGAGATATCCGGGCTTTCTTCGGGGACTTTTAACTCCGTCAATGACGGTCCCTCCGAGGACTCTGAAGACACTTGTGCCTCGGTGACTGATCTCTTCGGGTCTCTCACGGTGGCAGTCTCTGCTTCAACGATCGAGTCTTCTCGGGTGTTATCGGGATCATCCGCTTCGATAACTGGACTCAATATTCCCTCACCATTCTCCTCGTAATGCGCGCGATTAAGCAAACATTCCGATACACTTCCGGTGGACCTCACGGTAGAATCGAGCTCTGAATCCTCCACGGGAGCATCTACGAGCTGCTGTGCGCGAGAGGGAGTCCTCTTCTTCCTCTTCTCAGAGATCGTAATCGGCTCTTCGGCTGGTTTCACGATCAACTGACGAGGTTCCGCGTGTCTTCGCGAGACTGCAAGTCCGCATTTCGAATCGCGTTTATCGGTTGACCCGCCGTTATCGGACCTCGCTGCTGCTCTCCGACCCGGCTGGTTCTCCTCTTCCTCCTTCTCCCCTTTCTCCTTCTCGTTGTTCCCCTTCTTTTCTTGTTCGGGTGGTGGTGATCGCTTCAGTTTGCAATCGCGTTGCTCCCGCAACGTTTTCCTGGAATCCTGAAGAGCCGAATTTTCCGATGAGAGACGGCGTCTGTGAACAACCGCCGACCCATAAGAGAGACGATCAGTCGTTTGATTGCTCCCAGTTGTACGTTTCAGCCTCAAAGGTGGAACGAGCTTCGCGCGATCTTCTGCCTCCTCAGTCGGGGAACAAAGCTTCCTCGCCGATGGCGGACTACCGGTCCTTTCGGTCGGCTGCAACAGCGACGAAATGTCTGTTTTGCGAGGTAAGAGGCAAGCTCCCAAAGTTCCCTCCGAATCTTTCTTTACCAAGAAGCTCTTCTCTTTGTGAGTACTCTTCGGCAAGAACTTTGCTTTCTCCGGAGCGTCATATCCCGTCAATCGCATTAGTTGGCCAATCGAAGTATCACTCTTCTTCGATAATAACGGACTCGCTCGATCATTTTGCTCCAGCAATGCCGGCTTTCCCCGAATGTCCTCCTTCGCATTCGCTCCCTCTTTTCCTGACAGCAGACGGTGTTGATCGTTTCTATCTAGCGGCAATGCGCTTGGTCGATTACTTTTCTGTACTGGCACCGAGCTTCTTTGGACTAACGTGCTTTCTCCGTTACTTCTCTCTGGTGTCGAAGAACTCCGTTGAATATCTTCCCTTAGATTTCTCCCGATACCTTCCTCTTCTTCTTCTTCTTCTTCTTCTTCTTCTTCTGCTACTACTATCGAGCTCTGCTGATCGCTCTCACAGCCTAATAACGCGCTTTCTCGAATAGCTTTCTTCAGTAGCAAAGGACTACCTTCAATATACCTTCTCCTAGACTTCGGGCTATAAGGTACGGAGCTTGAGCTTGGACTGTGGGCACTTTTCGGCGAATGACTGAAGCCTCTCAGCAACTTGTCGCACCTCTCGTCAACATTCTCCCTCAGCACCTTCTTGAGGAAGAATTCCGCTTTCCTGGATCTGACAACAGCTCTTGAACGATCATCCAGCCCGTTGGATAACTCGATGGGGGATCCGTCTATTGACCATCGCTCAAGATCGCACGGCTCTTCTTCATCACTATCCTCGCCTTTGGGCCTAGATTCTTCGCGTCTCGATTTCGATTTAGATGTCGATCCTCCGCCGCGATCGTGCGCGCTATCTGTGAATATCGGGCGGCCGGAAATCGCTTTCTTCGCGTTGCCGTGGCTTGCACTTTCGGAACATCTCCCGTCAGCCAGAGCTCGGGATTGCGGCAGACAATACGGCGTCTCGACGCCCACAAGTTAGCGTCTTGGGCGAACGTGTTCACGGACGGGTCGCTCGATACACTGGCAATGCACTCTCGCTTCTCGCCGTCGGACACTCGCGCGGAAAATGCAGTGGAAGGAACTTACCGGCCCCCGTTCATCCGTTGGTCAAGCGTCCGGTCAGACCTCGTGCGACTCGGCCCGACGACTTACGTCGTCTGAAACACAGAAAAAAAAATAGTGCCTTGAGTATACATTGCGTCGCGTGGAATTGTATTGTTATTGTGTCACCGTCAAGTGGAGAGCGGAGAGGGGCTGATGCAACGATCCTAAAATTAAATCTGTTTACGCAAGATCCACTCGAGATCCCCGTCGCGGAATCTGCGCGCGTGTGTTGATAATATTTCTCAGATAATACTGAGACACATGACGTGAATTCCTCGTCTACATGTATAAATTAAGTCGAACTGAACGATAAATTCTTGCACTATTTTGCAAACAGTCGCGTAAAATCTCGAGTTATTGATCAATGAAGATCGATGAATGGGATTACACGCGACACTGCAGACGAGCTGTGACAGCGACGTCTGCCGTTTCTGTGCACATTAGATCAAACTGAACATTTTGCAAGTAACGGATTTTTAGTTTTTAATTGAGGAACATTGGCGAGCGATCGCGTATGATCATTTACCTATCTTCTTTAACCCTTCACTTGGTAGAAAAATTTAAGGAAAAAGATTATTTGTGTGATTTAAGCGAAGCAGATAATGTCTCCTGAATACAGTTGTATTGCACTTTGGTTTAATCTACATATACATGAGAATCTTATGCGTGTATCGTCGGACATGCTGCATATTGGTGCGTCTTTCTCTCTGAATCGCGAATAACTCGCAAAAATCGTGAAATCGCATAGCATATGATACAGATATGTAGTCACACAAATCTCTACGTTCGATGCAGTAAAGCTGCGCGACACAACGGTGACGCTTTTCTTCCGATTTAATCGGACGCATAGCGTCGCGTTACGAGTTAATGCGCCGCATCGCGGTGCACCGCCGACTGTTTCGCGAGTAATTCAAGTCGATAACGAGAGCCAGTGTTATTTTTATACGGTGCCGTCCGCCGCGTTTTTTCACCGTGTTATATACCGTTACCGTAACGCACGCGCATACACCACACACACACACACACACACACACACACCATACATGCATTTACTTTGACATTTATATCGCGTTATAGCGTGTGAAATCACGTTATAGCGTGTGAAATCGGATAAGTGTGCGCGCGGCGTGATGCAACTGCGGCGTAATAAATGTGTATTTTTACGTTAGAACACACACGCGGTATTCCGTAATCGGCGATACGACCGACGGGAGGACGATGCTTCGATGGAAAAAAAGGTAGGAAAAGAGACAAACATTGAGAGTGCAGAGCGACGGTATCCCACCATGTGCGCGCGCTCGTTATGAAAGAAATTAAGGATGCGTTTGAACAAGATGAGCGGCGTTCTGCAGTTACTTATGTAAACGTAGCGTGATCACGCGCGCGCGCGCGCGCATGCACGCGAGACAGCAGCGCGCGTCTGGAGGAATCGGCTCTTTACATAAGGAAACAAATCGCACGGTTCACCATTTCGGGCGAAATGAAGGTGGTGGTATCGTCGGTATCCCGGAAGTGACTCCATCTGGAAGTTATGCTGACCGTGAGATCCGAGATCGCGATCGGAATCGCCGATCCGAATGGGCACTCACATCGTGTAACGCAAGAAAAGGCGGGCACGCTCGTTGTAAGTCGATGGCGCGGCTGCATGTCGCATCCACGGGAAATTCAAGACGTTCATTGAAATTCCGCGCGTCCCGCCGCCGATAATAAAGACTGTACACGTGTGTGTGCGCGCTTGTGCACGCGAATGTGCAGATGTGCGTGAGCGCGTGCTGCGGAGATGTGTTTCCCATTTGATGTTTCTTTCTGTTGCGCGGCCGAGGCTCCGCACGATCGCATTTCCGAAATGACCCATCGAACCTCGCTGCCTCTCATTAGCGGCCGCCTGCTAATTAATTAGCAATTATGTTACGGAATTGCGGCTAGGAATACCAAGGAGAGCTCGCTTCCCAGGCGAGTTTCGATAGGAGCATCTTCGGAAAACGTAAAGCCTCTTTTCAAACAAAATATACTTGTCCACGTATTTTTCATTCACTTCAGTCCACAAATCGACATAATGGCTTTAACGTTATAATAATTGTATATGATTAATACTTCTTCTTCTTCTACACTACGATCTGGAGTAATAATTCCTTTGAACAAATACTAATACTTGTGTGTACTATAATATTAAGTATTATACTATAGTATTAGATATTAAATCATAGCATAGTTATGCGAGAGAATGATTCAACTCACAAAATTATGATAGATTTTTAAATTTTCCTTTTTTACCGATTAAGTAGTCCACACGACGGAGCCTCAAAGTGTGTAACTAATCGCATTCTAATAATGCAGGAATAGACTATCAGTAAGATCTGTCTTGCTGAGAAACATAGTAAGTTTCGCCAGAAATATATGAAACTTTTTAACAGCACATTTCAGTATCTAAAATATAAGGAAAAATATAAAAAAATGAGAGGACAAGAGATGACTGCATAATATGCGATCGACTCCTCTCTCAGTTAAGAGATTCGATATGATGTAAAACTTTCATTGTAAAATCCTCTAGACGCACTGTCCCGCTTTTTGGAATAATCGTCAAGCAACAAATCGATATTGTGTATCATTAAAAAATTCTAATAACCCAGTTACACGACATGAGGCCAATCTGCGTGCATTACTTCGCTTTCCTATCGAAGCGATTTACATTATCCTGGCAATATATATTTCAGAGAAAAGAGAGAAAAAGAAGTCTCACACACACACACACACACACACACACACACACACACACACACACACGTAAACACACAGTAGCAATAGCAAATATGCGCGCGCGCGCGTGATCTCGGTTTTCCTACTCGCAGAAGCAAAATGGACCGATATAGGAACACTGAATTATGCAGCTTCGCTTCGATACGGTGCCATTTGTGCTCTGTGTACATAATATATAAAACACACTCTCTCACGTGCAGATATATCTATATATCTATATATAAAAGCCTCCTACCGTCGTTCCCGTCGCCTTTATGACACGACTCTCGCGATAACTGTAATGGCCACTCTCGCAACACGAAGCACCCCATTACCGTCACTCTATTTCACACTTGATATCCACCCCCTTGCATTCACTCCCCTCCGATCCTCCCTCCGACCTGCTTCCGACCTACCACCCCCTTAAAGAGCGCACCTTGACCCGGTGCGAGGGAGCGAGCGAGCGAGCGATAAGGAGCCCGTAATGTCGCGCTCCTACGCGCGAATCCTTTTATCGGTATGCCGCCGGTGGGTCCTGCAGGAGCCATCGATACCAGCCCCGGATAGGCTCTCGTTACACCCGGAATGTCGGATTTCGCGGAGTGTCAGTTTAGCATGCTCCGCTAAACAGGAGGCCCGCGAGACCGTCATCTTCTTCACGCTTCACTCGGACGACGGCGAGTCGACAAAGGGAGATCGTAATTTTAGCGAGCGCCAAAGGTCGCGGACGTCAAGTTTGCCGGAGAGAGACGTTCCCGACGAATTTAGAAGCGCGCCAGTTGCTCGAGTCGATAGAATCCTCAGATTCCTGAGGGGCGTTCCCTCGCCCTGCGCCGAAGATCGTCGAAAAATCGTGGACGCAAAAGCGAAAGACCGATTTCGCCGGCCCGATAAATGATGTAGCCCGCCGCAAAAATCGACCGCTGAAAACGATATTTCGGTCGCGAGCGGACGAAAATCGAAGGAAGAGCGGCGGGAGGATGCATTTCTACGCTATGCAAATATAAAATCATGAATAAGATATGTGCGATGGACAAACGGACGGGCTTCGTTCAGTCGTTGTTAAATAAAAGGAGTTTAATCTCGGAGTCGGCGATCGCGCACGACCTTTCGCTCCATTTGGCCGCGAGTGACGCCTCGATTGTTCGAACTTTGGCGTATTCCGGGTCTCCTCGCGCTGTTCGCACGCACATTCTCCGGGCGAGATGAGTCGAAAACTTCCGGTGTCGCGTGCGATAGCACGCTCGTGAAATCGCGAGCGACAAATGCAAATGTCATCGGCGAGATGGGCGTGTTCCTAAAAGCGGAAACAAATCCCGCAAAAAAACAGAGGCACTGAAACGCTCCTTTCCGCCGGCGCGATTTTTAAGGGGAATTCGATTACGCGGAGAATTGCGACTCCGCGAAATTCTCCCCGACCTTCTCTCTCCTCGCCGTTCTCTCTTTAACCCGGCTCTTTCGCGCTTATTGAATCTCACGCGGAATTTGTTTCGTATATACGACGACGTAGGCAAAGAAAAAAAAAAAAGAAGGAGAAAAAGGGGAAAAAGAGAGAGAGAGAAAAAGGGGGGAGGGGAGAAAAAACGGTAACCTCGGAGAGCGCAATTTTCAGCGGGCATAACGAGCCTGCCAGCGGCACGCGCTATTTTACGCAGCAGTAAAAGAGAGGCAGATTGTCGGCAAAAAATCGTAAAAAAGAAAATGAAACGTCGACGTCGTATGAGGAAAAACGAGAAGGCAGGAGGATCCCGCTGATAAAACTATTCATATATTATATGTATTTATGTTCAATGTAGCCGCGCACGTATGCGTGTTTTATCCCTTGGCGGTGTCTCCGTGACGAAGGATAACGATCAACGAATATATGAAAGCGAAATGACACTTGGCGGATACGCCGCCGTGAAATATCCAAATCCAAGACACCGACACGAAGATCCGCAAACAGTTAAATTAACAAAGTGATCGAGAAGTAAACTGTCGAGACTGTGTCGAGGAGAGATATCAAAACTTCACTGACAAGATACTGACCTTTCGGCGAAGTTTACGCCGTATTCTGGTTGCACAGAATTAGGGACGCTTCTACATAATACGCGCAATAATGAACACTGCTCGATAACGTGACAACGAAAACGAT